CTAAAGTCACTGAAACTCTCGGCCTCAGTTTCCTCATTTGCAAAATGATGGGGTTGAATTAGATTTCCTCTATGCACCCTTCCAGCTCTGAATTTTATCTCCAATGATCCTAGCTAGTCACTTAAGCCTGCATAATCAGATACTTTATGTAATATATTTTTCTTATATTAGGAAATAGTATGAAAACTAACATTAAAAGTCTCATATAAAGGCTTCTCTTTATTTTGGTCAGTGTGTTCCCCCACTGAAAGGAAGCGAGGCTCACAGTTTGTTTCAGATACATCACTGCTCTACATTTCTTGACTGCATAGGGAACTCCGTAAGAGTCAGTTTCACATCCTGTCACAGATGAGGACGTGACTCTTCTGGAGGCTCACTGGACTGGCTCCAGGAGCTTATATTCCCAGCTGAAACTATTCCTCAGAATGTCACTGGCAATTCAAAAAACTGACAGGTGCCACTTACTGCAGGCTCATTTATATCCTGGTTTGGCTATTTTGAAAGGTATTATTTTAAAAATCATTGAAATTGAGATTAAATGTTATAAAATGATTCAGTCATTTAAACATTTGCATTTTCCCCCATTTTCAACCATTATCCCAAAGATGTTTCACATAGCTATTTATACAGAATAACAAAATGCATCTGGAGGAACAAAGTATCTGGAATCTCAAGGGAAATAATGGTGGGGAGGGGGGAAGAAGTAGACTCAAAGGTCAAACAGCAGTCTAAAACTCCTATTTTGTTATAAAGCAGTAATCATGAAAACAATTTGGTATTACTTAGAAAAGAGAAAGTTAAATTAGTGGAACGTACTTGATAAGTATTAATAAGATACAATTATACTCAATACCCCTCCCCCCCGAGTTTTATAAACCTGAGATCATAAGTTACTTGGGGAACAACTAGATTTGATAAGAATTGACAGGGAAACTACAAAGCAGTTTGGCAGAAATTAGGTTTAGACCAGCATCTTAAACCATATACCATAATAAATTCAAAATGGATTGTTGAGCTGAAAATTAAAAGTCAGAGTATGAAAAAAAATTAGGAGAGGTCAAATGTTCATGAAAATGTTTGTAATAGCATTTTTTTCCCTTATACTATCCAAGACCTGGAAACAAATTAGATGTTCATCAACTGGAGAATGACTAAACAAGTTATAGTACATGAATGTAATGTAATATTACTTTTCTAACATGAATGTAATGTAATGTAAAAACTGATGAATATAAAGAAACAAGGAAAGACTTAAAGGATGTGATACAAAGTGAAATAAACAGAACTATGAAAATGGCAAACATAATGACTATAATAGCATAAATGGAAAAATAAAATAATTTAACCTGAATACTAGGAAATTATAATAATCAAGTCTGGCTCCAAAGAATACATACAGGAATACAAATCCCTCTCTTTTTTGCAGCAATGGAAGAAAATGACTATGGGATAGTGGCTACATTATTGGATTTGATTGGTATATTGGTTTGTTCAACTGAACTTTTTCCCCCTCTGTTTTTATTCTTTGTTTATAAAGGATGGCTTTCTGAGTGGTAGAGTGGGGAGCATACGTTGGGACAAGAAGGTAATATAAAAACAAAATATATCAATAATATTGTCTGAAAAATCTCAGCTTGCCTATATTCCTGGAATATAAGCACATTATGAAACAACCACATTTATCATGTATTAGCTGGGATAAAAACCAATAACAACATATCAATACCATGAAACTCAGTAAATATTGGTAGGTTAAAGAACTGGGCACTTTCATTTCCTCATTCATTCAACACTTATTAGATACTTACAAGGTACTCTAAATATACTATTTTCAAGGCCAGTCCAACTGACAGGAGGCTTGGCCTTTCATTATCTTTTTCATTGCCCATTGACTTTGCCTATGCTGCTTTGCTCCCATATCCTATATCATAGGTTTCCAAAGCTTATCCCATGTTGTCCCCTAGCCACTGAGAGATCTCTCTGTCAAATTGCTTTTTGGACCTACTTCAATTTACAGTATTCAGTACTCTAAACCTTTTCTCATTCCTTCTTGATAAGAATCAAAATACGGCTGCTGTGAATCTTAATCTCTCCAAGAGTACTCTCTTGTGTGACTCTTTAATATAATTATTAATTTATAAGTTTCTTCTGGGTTAATTTTTCACCCTGATGGACAACATAGTTGCACCAGTCTTCTCAGGGTCATTTCAGACACTACAACAGGCTGAGGCAATATTTTGAAGCAAAAGGATCCTTTTTTTTCTTAGTATATCAATCAAACCTTATTTAAAGTGTCTCTGATTTTTCTTAAGAAAAAAAATCTAATAGTCTCTTTTTCCATATCGTGCCTACAATGACTTGAATGATAGACTGTTAGAATCAAAACTAGTACAGCTTCCTCATTTTACAGATAAAGGAACTACATCCCAGGGAATTAAATGAACCCACTCAAGGTTGTCCAGATGGTTAATAGCAAATTGGCACTTGAGTCTAGGACCCATGATTCTTCTTGTCTTTTTTCCACTGCACCTGCTCCCTACAAAGAAAAAAAAAAACTAAACTGGAACCTTTTGTGAGTTGATTAGTGTCACCTGCCTTTTTATAATATTCACACTGCAATTAATTCTATAATTGCTAACAGTTATCTGCATACCTCTGTCTTCTATCCATGTTCACGTTCAAAGACGTCTGTCTTTCCGTCATTTGTTGGACTTCCTGCTTCCCAAAAAGATTTGAGGCAATTTACAAAGTTAAAACTACATAAAACAGCACAAGTGGGTGAGAGGCATACACAGAACAACAAAAAAGAACAAAAACAATGAAAAAGAAAGGAGAACTAGATGTTATCAGGCACCTGAAATGAGTTAATTACTACAGTTAAAGAATAAATCTAACTCTGAGATAAAGCAAAAGAGGAAACACATTGGGTTATAAAGTTGTTCTTGTCTGATAAAAAAGAAAATATGTTTATCTTCAGATGTAAACTTTTCCTAGTATTTAATTCTAAGAGGAATTAATCATGTGGCTACTGCTATAAGGGACATTGGGTAATACAATGGACAGTTTCTTCAACTCATTATTCACACAGACATTTCTTCTATTGACCCTTTATTTAGGTGTAGGGTTAACATTATATCATAATTCAGGGAACTCAGGGAACTGCTTATGATGTGGTCCAGGTATACTGCTTTTTGATGACCTCATTTAATATCAGAACACAGATGAGAAAAGCTGGAGAATGGCTAGTGAACTCATCCATGGATCAGTCTCTCAAATAGAAGAGATCTTGGTGTGACCTTGGATAGTCACTCTAGACATCCCTTTTCTCATCTGTAAAATAAGACTTTAAAGTGATGTGAGAATATAGCTCTCCAGCTAATAAAAAGCTCAGACACTATATAGTATAACCATCTCATTTTACAGATGAGAAAAACAAGCCCCGACGAGTTTAAATTAATTTACCGAGGTTATACAGGTAATCATCAGAGGCAAGATTTGAATCCAGGTCTTCTGACTCTAAGAGAATGCCCTTTCTTGTTAAAATCAAAATATAAAATTTATTATTCAAAATTCACAAAACTAAAAAAGTATAAAAGAGACATAAATCATGAAATTTTCAAATGTTTTTGTAAGTTTATAGTATTTCTACTTCTAAAGTTATTAATATTTAAAACTGCATTAAGACTTTTGGGACATTCTGCACGTGGTTCAAATTGTATAGAGTTGCTCTTTCTGTTAATTCATTAATGTAGGTCTCTAGAAATTATGTAGGAAACATAGTGGGTCAAAGTTGATAGAGAGATGATGTTGGATTCCAGAAGACCTGAGTTCAAGTCTTGCCTTTAACTTTTAATGACTGTGTGACCATGAACAAATTACATAAGCTCTTAGTACCCTAGGCCATTCCCTAAGAAAGATAAGAAATGACAGATAAGTTGTTGAACTGCAACTAGAGTTCTGAGTTCCTTATGCCAAAGAAACCACAGGTCCATGCAAAATCAAAACATCCGGGAATAAATAAATATCCTACTCATAGGCCCATACTCTATTGCTTCATTGTAGTGTGGAGATGAGCCTAGAATCCTTAGGGCTAAGTGAGAAGTATGTCAGGTCTCTTAGCTTCTTCTATTTAAAAAAAAATCATATTATCTTAATAAGAGCTTTTGTCTGCTTTTTAAAGACTAGACCACTTGAGATGAATTCTTTGACCATAGCAACCTATGAAATAAGCAAAAATGGAGGTCCCTAACTGGAACCACTGATAGCTAATAGATATTTTAACCCAATTTATCAACCTCTTGAATTTTTCTTCTAGGAGTTAAAACTTAAAAAAGAAAAGAAAGCAGAGTGGTAGACTCTATCTTGGGAATCCTTTCGATAGCGAATTGAAATGGGGCTTAGCATAAACTATCCGTAATAGGATGGAATTTTGCTATGAGCAGGGAGATGAGAACTTTTTTTTAAGTGACTAGTTGACTGATTGCCTTGTGATTGTCTAATTTCCTTCTAGTGACAGTGACAGAAATGGGATTTGAACACTTTTCTTAGACTTTCAAGATACAAAACAAGGCAAGCCAAAAAGCAATCAATCCATTGAAAGATGTATGAGTAGGTCAACATGGTTGCTGATACCAGAGTATTTGTGAGAATAAATTTGTAAGAGTCCTCACTTGGCAGATTATTTTTCACAATCCCCGCTTTCTTTATCTTCTTGTGTATTATTTTCATGTATTAAAAATAAGCTCTAAATGTCTTGCCACATGTCATCAGGTGACTGGATTGATGGTGTTTGGTAAGAAGCATGGAGGCTCCAATTCCATGTTTCAGCAGCTGAGAGAGAAGTGGATTTCTGTTATTGGCAATCTGGGCTGCTGCTATAGTGAAGATCCTTAAATGAAGTTAAGGAATTTAGCAGGGACTTTAGAATTGTGATCAACCAATGGAAACAAAATAGCTGTAGTGATGCTTGACATCTGAAGATCTTATTTCTTCCTTGACAGGCTAATAATGTATGGCTTCGTGAAGGTGATGGTACACATGGGACAGCTAAGAAGTGGAGACTTTCACTTCACTGACTGTTTATTTTTCGGTTCATTGATGTCTGCCACAGATCCAGGTAACTATCCAGATCTTGCTTTCTTTCAAACACTAAGTATTTACTTGAATGGTATTTCCTAACTGATGATTTCATGTTGCCATGATAATTCTCCAAAGTCTATCATTTCCTAAAGGACACATGTGGGGGTGTAAAAACAGGTCCATATTAAAACAATGCTCAAGCTTTGGGGCTGTCATTTTCATTCATTGGAAAGATAGGAATCATTTTCTTTGACAATGGTTTCTCTGCATTGTATGTTATTTCTTAAAGTTTTTAATTTTTAAAAATCTCTCTGTTATGTACTACAGTTATATGTTTAACTTACTTGGGGAAAAATCTTTGGAAGTTATTGAGAAAATGATATTTTTCCCTACTATAGATGAATTTAACCCATTTCAAGGAAGTTTTTGGAGGGATGGATTTCTGTTTTTGTTTTTTGTTTTTTGTTTTTTTTTTTTTACCAGCGCATGTTGATCCAGATTCTCCGAGTACATAACAAGCTATTTGATAGGGACAGAATAGATATTTTGGGAGCTGCACAAACTTTCAAGCAACTGGCAAATTATTGAGCAAAATCCCATCTCAGTACATTGAAGGGTGCTTTAATGGACTGAAAGTGGTACCTCTAAAAGGGCTAGTCTTACATTGAGGCCTTACCATAGGGACTAAACTTAATTATACAGGATGTCCCAAAAGTCTTAGTGTGGTTTTAGGCTATTAAAGATTAAAACTTCACTAAGACTTTTGAGCTACCCTATATCTGCATCTCCCTAGCACCCAATTTAGTGCTTTATATAAGTGCTTAATAGTTATAATAAACAAATGAATGATTTAAATGGTCTCATTACATTATAAAAGTTGGTTTTCTTCTCTTTACAGTAATTTGCTTTGTAGTCATAGCTACTGATTTGAAGTAAAGAGGAAGGAATTGAGTTGTGTTTGAAAGTCAGATTTCTTATAAACCATAAGTAACTGTGGCAACTCTATTTTATTCATTCATTTATTTATCCAATGAACACTTATTAAATACTTACTTTATGCAGATGAGGGAACAAAATGAAGGAATAAAAAAAGTTTAAGTCAGACCATATCTCTGCTGTCTTGATGCTTACATTCTTGACGTGTATGAATTAAGACACAAATACAGATAACTCCCCATTAAACAATATTACACCATAGCTACATTACAGTATTGCAAAGCAAGAGGCCATGTGAAGTCAGAGGGAGCTTGTCACAAAGTCGTGGCCTAAATGTCCTCCATCTTTAAAATGAGAGAAAGGCCCAATGGCTAGTCTTCCTGGCATTTAAAGCTGCTGACAATCATTTTCCAGCTTACCTTTCAGATATGCTATGTTACCACCAACAGGCCCAATTACTATTCCCCAACTCTTTCTCCTACCTCCATCCCTTTGTATAGGCTGTCCCTTATGCCAGGAATACACTCACTTCTTGGCTTCCGATTCCCCAGAATTGTTAATACAGTCTCCTTCTTCAAATAGTACTTTGTTCTATTCCATCTCGGTGGTGTCCAAATCATGTCTTAGGTTTGGAGTTGGAAGGGAACTTAGAGGCCATGAAGCCTAATGCCATCTTTTTACAGATGAGGAAGCTGACTCACAGGGAGAGGTTGAATGACTTTCCAGGGCTATACAACTAGCCAGTGTCTAAGGTGGTCTTTGAAGCAATGTCTTCCCTGCTTCACGTTCATGCCTTTTCTACCAGATTGCACTGCCTCACTTCCATTTTGTGCAGTAATCCCTTTCCTCTCAGCAGGTTGGGTAAGACCTTTCTTATCCTTAATGAAAAGCATGCAGGGAAAAGGACCCAATTTTATTAACTCAATAATGTATTGTCCTTTCCCAAGATAATACTAGCCATCCACATTGGTATCATTCTAGTTACTTAGTCATATGGTTGTAGACATAGAGTAACTAACTAGAACTATCCAGACCCTAGGAGGCATGGTCGCTACTTTTACTTTGCCACTAGCTGTGTGGCCTTAAGCCAGTCATTTAATATCTCTAAGCCTCAGTTTCTCCATCTGCAAAATGATGTTAGCATGTAACTAGTGATCATAGATTTAGAGACATGGAGGACTTTAGAGGTCATCTTGTTTAACCCTTAATTTTACATCTAAGGAAACTGTGGTTCACAAAGTTTAAGTGACTTGCCCTATGGCAGTGTCAGAACTCAAACCCAGGTTGTTTGCCTTCAAAGTTAACATCCTTTTCACTGCTTCCTAATGCATTAATGGGATTATGGAAGCCAAAGGGAGCGGTCAAGCTGCTTAGTGAGAACTGAGGTAAGCTAAGAGGATTTTTAGCAAGAACATTTAAAAAGAGAGAGTAATTACCACCACCACAATCACCACCCTACCTCCTCCCTCATGGCTTATAATTCTTGTATTAGTATTGAAAGAAGAACTGATCTAGTGAGCCTTCAGGAAAGGATGGAGGTGGCTGTGACTATGTGGATCACCTGGTGCTTTCCTTTGGGCAAGCATTTCTTTGTGTCCCACTAGTACTTTGTGGAGTCAGCAGGTAGGTGGACACTGGTACAGAGGTGGGGATATCATGGTAGCTAGTTGGAGCAGTGTGTAGAGTACAAGGCCTAGAATCAGGAAGGCCTGAATTCAAATTTGGCCTCAAAGAATTCCTAGCTGTTTGACCCTGGGTGGGTCATTTAACCTCTGTTTGCCTGTTTTCTCATCTGTAAAATGGGGATAATAATAGTATTTCTCTCTTGAGTATATTGTAAGGAGCATATGAGATAATACTGGAAAGTGCTTAGCATAGTGCCTGGTATATAGTAAGTGCTATATAAACGTTAGCTGCTATCATCATCATCATCATCATTAGTGTTGTTGTTATTGGGTGTGTGTCTGCCTCTCCCATAGGGAGATTTTTGCATAGTAGTTAAGCTTGCAACTCACCTCAAAGCAGATGTCAATTTACTTGAAGGGTGAATCTATTAGGATGTAGTCATTCAAATTTGGCCTAGAAGACGTATCTAATAAATCATGTTGCAACTCCACTGGATTCTTCTATGATATGTGTTTGAGAGAGCCCAGATGTGACAATTGAGAGACTTTGATTAAATGATCTCCAGGTTGAGCCCAGCTCTAAAGTTCTGAAATTCAATAATTCTAATTTTGACCCAGTGAGTAGGAGGCCCCTGATGCCATAGGAGCAAACAAATACATTGTCTAATATTTTTATTCCTTTTCCTGGAAGTTTAGTCATAATATAGCAACGTGCCTAAGTCAGTCTGTGCTCAATTAATAAAATTTAAAATCTCCAATGCCCCTAAATCCCCTAGTTAATCTTATTTCATAATTATTCATTTACTTTTTCAATTATTTTGTGACTCGGTAATTGATAAAAGAAAACCATGCGCTACAGACATCTTACATTTTTCTCGGCCTTCTCTAAGCTAATTCTCTTCCACTTAGTTAAACTAGGTGTTATCGTCAATTAATATTTATCATTTAGAAAACCACATTTAGATCTGAATCTAACTCTTTCTACGTGACTCAGAGATCCTCTCCACCGATTTTTGGGGAGCTCAGTTGAGGGCTTGAATGATGAACTCTCATTTGATATACTTTACTCATCATGAGAAATTCATCAATAGTACTTCAGAAAAAAAAAAGAATTAAAGAAGGATGTCTCCAAGGTGAATGAGTGAGCAGAGAACTGACAATGTGTGTTACAACATATCTTATTACTCTTGTTTTAAAGCCAGTATTTCTTCCCTATTGCCTTGGTTAATAATAGTTCTATCCTTCATCCAAATATGATTTTGTCTGGAAGTCTCACAGGCAAAGTCATGGGGTTATGTGGCATAGTGGCAAATGCCTGCAATCCCTGCTGCTGGGGGTGCTTAAGCTCTGGAGTCCTGAGACTCGGTAGGCTAAAACTGATTAGGTTTCTTTACCAAATCTGGCACCAGTCTGGTGAACAGGGTAGTGGATAGGAGGGGACTTTTCTGGGGAACAGGGAGTGGAACCAGACTGCCTAAGAATGGTTGAACCAGGCCAGAAATAGAGCAAGTTAAAGCTTCTGTGCCTATTGGTGGTGGGGTTAAGCTCACAAGTAGCTACTGTATTTCCAGTCTGGGCAAAATAGGTAGTTTTTGGTGTTCTTTTGTTTTTCAGTCATTTCCAACTCTTTGTGACCCTATTTGGGGTTTTCTTGGCAAAGAGCATGGAGTGGTTTGCCATTTCTTTCTCCAGCTCATTTTATAGATGAGGAACCTGAGGTAAACAGGGTGAAGGAACTTCCCAGGGCCTCACAGCTGGTAAGCTCCTGAGGCAAGATTTGAACTCAGGAAGATGAGTCTTTCCAACTCCAGGCTTGGTGCTCTATCCACTGTATCACTGAGCTTCCTATAAGATGGAGAGACAGGATCAAACAACGACAAAGCATTATGGGGATCATCTCTTTTATATATAAATACCATTATAGAAGGAAAAAAATTAATGTACTAGATGGGTGAACTAAATTTCATCTTCTCTCTATACTTATCACTTATACTTACTTCCATCTATAATCAGATGTGTTTTGGGATTAAAAAGCGGGGTTGAGAGATTGGTAGGAGGATATTGTGGGAAGAAAGAGAAATAAAGAAAATGGAAGTACTTTTTGTGGCTCTCTCATTTATACTAGTGAGCACTTTGGTGTAGTAGAGAGTTCTGGATTTAGAGGCCAGATACTACAGTCTAAGTCCCACCTATGGGACTGTTGCTGTGTGACATTGCGTAAGGCATTTGTATTCACTGAACCTTAGCTTTTCAATCTGTACGATGAAGACAAAATCTGCCTCACAGGGTTATTGTGAGGAACTTACTTTTGGAGCCTGAAACTACTACAAAAATGTGTACTGTGTTATAATTTGTATTATAGGTCTGTCTGTGTTGGTCTTATCCCCTCTATTAGAGTGTAAGCGGTTTCATCTTCATTTTCTAAGTGCCTGGCACAGTGGATTGCCCATGATAGACAATTAATAAGTATTTATTG